ATGAACATATATGCAAAATTATCAATGAATACTCACAAACCAAATCCAATATATCATCAATAACTTTATTTTTCATGACTAAGTTGATTTTATTCCAGTGATTCTGGAATGGGTCAACATACATAAATCATTAGAGATAATTCATCACAAGAGCAGACTCAAAGATAAGAAAACACATGGTCATCTTGGTAGATATAGAAAGCATCTTTGACAAAATCTAGAATCCCTTCATGATAAGTGTCATGGAAAGAATAGGGATGGAGGCAACACAAAGGCTATGTACAACAATTTCATTGGCAACATAAAAATGGAGAAAAAATAAAAATATTTCCACTTAGATCAGGAACAAAGGTGTCCACTCTTTCTATTTCAATTTAATATAGTCCTTAAGGTCTTATCTAGAGAAGGGAATAAAAAGAATATAGCTGCAAAAGAAGAAAGAGTTTCCACCAACACTAAGAGCTAAAAACACCTTAAGAAAAGTCTCAGAGCACAAAATTAACATGCAAATCAATAACTTTCATGACAAACATACAGATAAAAAATGAGACAATCCTATTCAACACACACACACACACAAAAAAAACAGGGAAATAAATCTAACCAAAAAAAGGAAAGACATCTAGACATCTACAAAGAAAATTTTAAGATTTTCAGGGAAGAAGAGAACAGAAGATGGAAGACTGTCCCATCATCATGGATTGGAAGAGTTAGTTTGTAAAACTGACCATATTACTAAGAGTAATTTACATATTCAATGCAACCACATTCAAAACACTAGAATCATTTTCACAGACAGAAAAAGCTATCTAAAAGTATGTACAGAGGTCCAGAAAATCAAGGCAAAGCAATCCTGAACAAAAAGAATTTTACAGGAGATATCACCATGCTTGATTTCAAATTATATTACATTGAGCCATGATAATAAAACAACATGATACAAGTACAAAAACAGACACATAACATAAATCAATGGAATAGGCTTGTGCCAATGACTCTTGTAAATATACTTTTAAGCCTGCAATCCTGGATGATTTTCTTTTTCAACACTTTCTTGTTTAACAAGGTCAGCCACCCTCCTTAGCAGATACAGCTTAAGAATTTTTGCTCAGTCAAGTTTCTACAGCCTTATTTATCCATAGCTGTGTGCTTGGTTGAAGTTTTAATTAAATAATCACATCTTTGTTCTAATATGTATGATCACATATGCATGTGTTCACAGATGCACACTTATGTGTGCATATATATATATATATATATATATATATATATATTTATATAACATACATAATTTACAATTCTCCATCATTGTAATGGAGAATGCAGGGACGGCTCCCTACACCCTTAGTGTTATTTATGACTCCTCTCTCCCTCTGTATTGTCCTCCGTTCCCCAGCCCTGGCTAAAGTTCCCTCATTTTTTTATTTCCTTCTTCATAGTACTTGTATTCTGTCATTACCCTCTCTACGGCTCCTCCCCCTCCCCACCCCATGCTTCTTATTACTTTTTTGACTTCTACACGTACTCCAATTTGTATACACACATGTGAAATTCATCAAAACAAGAAACCAACTTAAAGCATCTACATCTTGGAACTAGAGCAATTACCAGTAATCAAGCAATCTTGACTCAGTTTCCTGATCTATGACCTCTAGTTCAAGAAAATAGGAACTTCCTTGTATTCTAAATTAAACATTTTATTAAATGCATAATATTTTATGGTTCCTAAATGAACGTCTTTTATTCACGTTAGTTTACTTCATTGTCTTGATTCCATTATATTTTGCAGTCTACTATTCACTTCCTAATTTTTTCTTTTCAGTATTAGATAATAGAAAGTCAGTAATATAGCTTAGTGTGTGAGTATTTGCTTAATATGCCTGAAGTCCTGTGTCTGGTCCCAGAATTGCATAAAGTCCAGCATGGTAGCATAGCTCTGTGATACAGTACTTGGGAGCCAGATATGGGAGGATAAGAAGATCAGGAATTTTCTCTGACTGGGATTTCTCCACTTCAGGGTAACCCCCTACTTACTGTTAGACTGGTGTATTCTAAAGGTTCCCTGTGGTGATACATTATTTATAATTTATTAAAGCCTGCCAGAGGATTCAAAAGGAAAAGTCAGCCACAAGCCATAAAAGCGAAGACACAACTTAAATCCCAGCATGCAGAAACTAGGAGGTGATGATACACGCCTTTAATCCTAGGACTCAGGATTAAGAGGTAGATGGATCTCCATGAGTTCAAGGCCACCCATATCTATACAAGATTGATCCAGTCCTAAAGAGAAACTGCTCACACAAAGATGGTCTCAGCACCTGGGATCACACACCTTTAATCCCAGCACTAGAAGGGTATAAAAGACAGGAGCAATGTCTTCAGTAGTCAGCATCAGGCATTCATTCTCCATCCACATTGAGGATAGGAAGACATTCAGTCTCAGGATTCTCCAGTCATGCTGAGAAGAGGCAGCAGGATCAGTCCATTCAGCCTGAGGTAGTGGTAAGAGCTAGTGGCCCTCCTACTTAGCTTTTCTGTTCTTCAGCCTGAAGTTTGAACCCCCAAATCAGTCTGTGTGTCTTTTATTTATCATGTAACAGTTCCCCTTGATCTATGATATTCTTGTTTTATTATTATAAAAACTGTCAAATTGCTACCATGTTGGAAGACCTTTCCTAGTCCATAGTCACATATTTAGCTTCAGAATTCCCTTTTAGGTGGAAGCTGTTTGTTGTTGTTTAGACACTGTGTACCCTCTGTGTTTAACATTTGTTTTTTAATTCAAACATGCACTCTCTGGATTTCTTCTCTATGTCCAAGGAGAAAGAAAAGTTCTGACATATGAAGATCCTCCTGACACATTTCTTTAAAAAAGTTTATTTCTTCAAAGGTTTCTGTTTGCTCAATGGGACCCACAGAAAGTGCAGGTTATCTGTGCACAAGGTCTTCACTTTGAACAGATAAGTGCCCCAGTTTCATTCTCATTTCTTGCATAGCCTCCATTTGAAGGCTCACTGCCAGATCACTGGACCAACTCCTAGGCATCTTCTCCAGTTCTGTGGAAAAGACGACAAGACAAAGGGGCCATCAATCATTTCATCTTTTTGGTCCAAACCTCTGAACTTTAAAGATCACTGAATGGCAAATACAAGAAAAAAATGTTACTTGGTAAAGTTCCTTTATGGCTTAATGTGTGATCTATTTTGGAGAAATTGAAATAAAATTGAGTGCACTAAATTCAACCCACATGAGGACTCATATCTGCTTGGTCTAAAGACAATAGAGTCTGTTCCAGGCCACTATATCGCTTATCTCCACACAGCTGTGAATCCTCTTAGTTTCAGCTGTCCAGGACCTGTAAGGTTATTTACTTGTGAGTCTCAGGATCCTATTTCATCCCTTCAGGAGGAAATGCCTCAATTCCAAAGAAATTGTTGCATAGCACGCCCCCCAGCCTCCTCCTTCCCCATTTCTGCCTCGCCATTCCTGTTTAAACCTTTACGCTACCATATCCCCCACCTCAGTTTTCATGTTACCTATGTTCCATTATTCCCCTCTATATTGCTTTGGGTTCTGTTGCTGTGATTAAACACCACACCAAAAGCAACTTGTGGAGGAAATGGTTTATTTCACTTATAATTCATATCACATTCTATCATTGAAGGAAGTCAGGGCAGGAATTTGAGGCAGGAACTGAAGCAGAAGCCAGAGGAACACTGCTTCCTGGCCTTTTCTTTGTGGTTTGCTCAGCCTATTTTCTTTTTTTCTTTTTTCCACGATCTCTGGTTGTTTTTAATTATCTTCTTGTTAACTTGTAAACTATCTCCTTTGTTTTAATCTTTCCATCTAATAAATTGGCAAAGAGTGCCACTACCAATCACACATATACAGAAGTTCCACTTTTGTGTGTTTCTGAATGGGCTTTTTTTTTTAAATATCACAAACTTTATAATCATGTCCACATTTCTTTTGAACCAAAAAGGAGGAAAACTTGGGTCTCTGGGCTCCTGGCTACTTAGGAAGTCAGACAGTATCTACCAATTCTTTTTGGCCCATTTCCTTTTTCATGAAGTTTAGGAAGAATTCTCCATCATTAGTCTTTGTTGAAGAGTGAATGGTCCATCATAAAGAGGGTAAGAAAAGTCCACACCTCCATGTCGAGGACCTTGTGGAAGATCGCCTGGGCTAAACATCCCCGGATGTGCTTTTGGTGATCCTGCTTCATGGCGTTTACTTTGTATTCCTTTTCAGAAAATATCCTTCCACTTCTTGTTATCAGTCCATATCTTAGCAGGTGCCTCCTGATCCTGGCATTGTTGAAATACCCAGCCAGGTGTTTATGGACTTTTAAGGACTATTCTGAATTACAATTTAGTCTTGGATCACTAAGAATTAAAAAGTAAGGTCTAAGTTGCTGATTTCTAAAAGTATTTTTAACTTAATAGATCAACTATAAAGAAGTGCTAAATACTCTTTATTTGATATTACACATAGACCACAGTAAGTGCCTTTCATTCTAACTAAAATGACATCATCAAGTTATTTCCTGATGTTTAGCCATTGCATGTAACAGACCAGTGAATACAAACTGAAACACAGGTGAGTCTTCTCATCTCTGAGACAGTAATTGAGTTTTCCCAGTGTTTAAACATACTGATATGCCCAGTTATATAAATTTAAGTGTAAAACCTTTCAATAGGTTTAGGTGACACCCCCATCTTTGTGGAAAGTAGAACTTTAATAAGTAAGTCCAATCCTATCTTGAGAAAGGGAGAGAAATGATAGTATTTATTCAACTGTTATTTTTATTTGAATTGTTATTTTTAAAAAATTTTATATGAATTGTTATTTTTAAAAAAAGATCGTATGCACTTTACTACAAGTCAAGTTTTACTTAAATCAGGACTGTCCAACAAAAACATTGTTAGCCTTCATGATCTGAATTTTGGTGTGTGAATTAAATTATAGTACACATTAAAAGTCATAAGACATTTGTTTTGTAATAAATAAGGCATCAGAATTACTCATTAGTAGCCTTAAGATAAGCTATTAGGTCTGTCCTCTCTCCCTTCTTCTTAATTCCAGCGAAGATCATTTTTGTTCCGGGGACGTACATTTTGGGATTCTCCAAATACTCCATCAGGGTATCCTCTCCCCAGGTGATGCCTTTGTTCTTGTTGGCATCTGTGTATGAGAATCCAGCAGCCTGACCTGTCTTCCTCCCGAACAGACTATGGAGATTTGGTCCAGTCTTATGCTTGCCTCCCTTTTCCACAGTGTGGCACTGGGCACACTTCTGAACAAAAATCTTCTTACCTTTCTCAACATCGCCCATTTTTAATTCGCTCCCAGGTGATCAGCACCACAGCTGCTGCGACCCGGCGACAGAAGTCCCGCTCTCATCCTATTTTCTTATATGACCTAGGACTGCCTTCTCTTGCTTGTGTTAGGTTAACAAACTACTAGCCATCACAACCTTCTCTAAGGCATTCTCCACACCATGGCCCCCTTGATAGTTTCCTGGCTTCTCCAGATACTTCAAGACAAACATGTGAATTGAAAGAGTCAGTTCTGTGATCCAGACCCCAGGAACATGGGTTTCAGTGAGGAAACCTCGGAAATCTACAGGACCTCCTGTAGTAGTTCAGTATTTATCCCTAGAATAGGTGTGGACTTTGGGAGCCCATTCCACATAGAGGAGTACTCCCTGAGCCAAAACACATGGGGGTGGGCCTAGGCCCTATCCCGAAGGATGCGATAGACTCTGATGACACCCTATGGAAGGCCTCACCATCCAGGGGGAGCAGAAAGGATATGTGATTGGTAAGGTTTTAGTTGGGGGGGGTAGGTAAGGGAGGAGGGGAGGGAGAGGGAACTGGGATTGTCTTGTAAAACAATCTTGTTTCTAATTCAATTAAAAAATTAAAGTTGAGAAATGTAAAAATTACCAATTTAAAATAATGAGGCTATATTATATGCTAGAATAAATATCTTATGAAAAATTAAAAAAAGAGTCAGTTCTGGGATACACATAAGAGAAGGTGCAGTATTTGTTGCTCGGGGCCTGGATTGTTTCACTAAAGATAATTTTTTCCAGTACCATCCATTTACTTTCAAATTTCATAATTTCATTTTCCTTATTGCTGGATTAAACTCTACTGTGTGTATGTACCATATTATTACCCATTTATCAGTTGGTGAACAACTGGAAATTGTTCCTAAAATCCATAGGTTGTTAAACAAAAATACTAGTACCAGATTGTAGCACAAGTTCTAATAGGTCTTAATAATAAAAGCCTAGAGTCAGATATAGGGGTGAAAGCTGAGAGACCAGAGAAGCAGAGCAGTCAGCCACTAGAGCTCCTACTTCTATGAAATCCTCAGACTGAAAAGAGGCTGAGTTCCTGTCTCATCCCGCCTATGTTTCTTGCTCTGCCCAGCCATCTCACTTCTTGTCTGTGTGTTCAGACCTCTATGGTTAGCCCTCTGATTTTCAGGCAAGCTTTATTTGTTAGAGCACAAACAAGATATAGCCACACCAGATGTGGCATATCTCCTCATAGTTCTTGCTTTAGAATGTCAAGAATGCCCCAAATGGTCCTACAACATCAGGCTCTTTTCATCTCTTGTGCTTGACCATGAGAACTTGATAAAACCCTATTGCTGAACAGATGGCATTCCTTGATGGCAAGAAATAGGAAAATCAAGATGGAACTAAGCCAGAAAAACATTCTTTGCTGCAGGCTAGCTTTTACAGTGCCAGAGAGTGCTGTGCAGAATCCTGAATTAAAAAAAAAAGAAAGCATCAGTGGTCTTACACAGTTGTAAACACTGTGGACTCCAATGCCAACTTCCAAGCCAAGATGTGCCCCTTGATGCAAATAGTGCCATAACTGTTGCTGAGGTGACTAACAGCTCTCTGGCTGTATTTGAGGCCCCTGCCCTTGAGGAAAACTAAGTACTGTTGGCTAGTTAAACTGACTTAGTACCAAAGTGCTTTCTAGATATCTCTTTATTCTTATAGATAAGTGTTACTCTCTACATTGATCACAAAATTCTCTCTTTCCAGCTAACAGTGATGAGTGCAGAGATTCGCAACTGCTCACAGTACTGAGAATAAGTAATGGTTGAGTGCTCAACCCTAAACAAGGCCATTCCCTTTTAGGACTCAGAGAACAGTACAGAAACCAGGTGGGAGCAGAAAGAATGTAATAGCCATAAGACAGGGAGGAAGCCTGAAAAAGCCATCTTCTGGGTGTGAAATAGCCATTGAGCCCTTGAACTCAAAGCAGATATGTTTCCTGCATGGACCTCCACAAGACTGGCCCTATCAACAATCAGTAATAAATAGGTGACAAGGTCATGGGGCTTTACCCTTCCCTGATGACTACTGATACATTCTGGGAAATGGGGAGTGATTGCTTTCAGTTGTATACCCACTGGCAACCCCAGTAGGTTCCAATGAATAACTCCAACCCCACCATTCCTGGTTGAACCTGATTAAACTCAGTGGGTCGCAAAGAGCTAGTTCCAGGGCAGCCTCCAAAGCCACAGAGAAACCCTGTCTCAAAAAACAAAAACAAAAACAAAAAAAAAAAACAAAACAAATATGCATGGATGTGGAAAAAAGGATTTTACAAAGGGAAGGATGCCATGACTGGTAGGAAGACAGACAGGGATGAGAGCAATCAATATGCCTTACACACATGTGTGTAATATCAAAGAACAAACTTAATAAAATTTATAAAAAGAGTTGAGATTGTGATGATGAAAGTGATCATTATGGAGGTAATTTAGTAGTTTTATACATAAATAATCTATTCATATTGCATACATATCCACAAACCAGAAAAGTTGACCCTAACTAGAGAAATACAAAATATCCTATACATTGTTATTGAGCATGCTGTAGATGCATCTTGAAGTTCATTCAGCCTGGTTGATTTTTGTCTCTTGACCACATCTTGGGAATCTTTCTGAAGATAAAGATCCATTTGTAAATATTTCTGCAGTTCTCCATTGCACTGCTGCCCATAAGGCTCATAGAGGACCAAGGGGAAACTGATTTTTAAAATCTCATTTTATATCATTTACTGCAAGGCTGTTAAACTAAAATTATAAAAGTGCAAGACTGCTTATTGTGTATTATGAAATTAACAAATGAACTAAACATATTTAATAATGTGGCTTAGGGATGATGTAGCAATCCTTTTAAAAGCACATATCCTAAAATAGCACTGGATTTGTGATTGGTGGAATAGGATAGTATGAATTAAGATTATTTTTACCCAATACCTGCAAATCTCCCATCTCTAGAGAGAAAACAATTGAGCATAGTAAAGTTTTCCAGCTGCTCATTTCAGTTATAGTAGCATGAAAAGGATTTCCCTTAGTTTTCAATTACTCCAAAATGATTTGCTACCTTAAAAAATTAAAAATGACTTTGTAGGCCTGAAGAGATGGCTCAGGGATTAAGAGCACTGGCTGTTCTTCCAGAAGTCCTGAGTTCAATTCCAGGCACAACACAGCAGCTAAACTGTCTAAAACTGTAGTCCCTTGAGAACTGATGCCCTCTTCTGGTGTATAAATGTACACGCAGGATGAGACACCTATATTAACAAATTACATAAACAAAAATCTTTTGAAAAATAACTTTGTAAAATTGTATATTCTTTATGAAATAAGAACTCTCAATCTAGGATAAAGTAGGTATTTTGTTTTAATTTTTAACAATTTGATTTCCAACTGCATACTTAAAAGGGTTCAATAGCAGTACTTTCCATAAATTGAATTGTTGCTTTAGTTCAATTATTAAGCAAAATCTTGCCTGATCTATTTTCTTAGCAGATTTGTCTCTGCTGAATTGGTGAAAAATGTACTAAGAAAATGACCATTCTCAGAGGATGAAGTACAATTGTAAACACATGAAAACAATGTTCTACCTCACTGGCCATCAGAGAAATGCAAACTAAAACTACACTGAGATTCATCGCATCCCAGTCAGAAAGTCACCCATTAAGAGAACAAAAGAAATGGCTGGAGAGATGGCTCAGTCCTGAGTTCAATTCCCAGCATGGTGGCTCACAACCATCTATAAAACATTATATAACTACAGTCATATATGCAAATAGGGTGCTCATGTACATAAATAAATAGACCAAAAATGAAAGGAAAAGAAAAGAAAATGACAAGAGCTAGTTAGGATATGGATAGTGAGAGTGTCAACTACTCTAGCCACTATGTCCATCAGTGTGGAAGTTCATAAAAATGCTACAAATTATCCTACAGTATGACCTAGCTCTTCTCCTGAGTGTTTACATGAAGAATCGAGCTGTCACAGAGATACCTGTATCTCAGTGTTTACCATAGCACTGTGCACAACAGAACCAACCTCGGTGTCCACTAAAAGAGGCAGAGGTCAGGAAAATGGACACAAATAGGAAATTATCCTATAAATGAATTCAACCAGCTTCAAAAAGACAAACATCACATTTGCTTTCAATTGTAGTTCCTAGGATTTACACACAAAAAAAATCTTATGTGTGTAGATGACATGAAATTGGAAAGAAACTGTAGAAGGAAGCAAAGGTGCTTTGTCTGAGTGGGAGAAGGAGCAGGAAGGCTAGTATGTATGGTATAAGGGGTGGGTATGAGGGGAGGGCATGAGGAGAGTGATGGGGGATGTCCTTCTGTATATACGTTTCTCTTATTGGTTGATGCATAAAACTCTGTTTGGCCAATAGCAGCAGGGATATAGGTGGGACTAGGAGATGAGGAGAATTCTGGGAGAGGTAGGCAGAGAAGCACTGCAAAAAGAGATGCCATGTAGCCAAGGACAGCATAACAGGTCTAGACCCTTCTCCAGTAAGATAAGACCATGTGGAAATACATAGACTTACAGAAATGGGTTAATAATTAAGACAAAGATAGCCAATAAGAAGCCCTAGCCATCGGCCAACAGTTTATAAATTAATATAGCGGCAGTATGTTTATTTGGGGGAAAAGCACCTGAGGGACCAGGCAGAAAAGAAAACTCCAGTTATAGGGGAGGGCATGAGGGCAGGACATGAAGGGTGGGCATGAGGGGTGGGCATGGGGGTGGTCATGAAGTGCATCATACACTTGCTTGAAAATAGTCCCATGTTGCCAATCTGAAGTTTATAAAATCATTAGAATCCCGAGTCTGCAGTGACTCATTGAGTGAGTACATGAACTGCTTTCTTTTGTTTGGCAGCATACCAAATGTTACTAAGTTAAACTCCAGAGAAATGAGGGACATAAGGATTTTGGTGACGAAACACCTAGTCAATAGTTATCCTCAAGCTGTTAATTAAAAGCAAAGCAGCTGAGGAGAAGATGGCCTGTTCTCTGATTGCTATCTGGCATTGTGAGTGAA